CACTTTTTAAAGAGTCCCAGGAACCTCTTTCAGAGCCCCAACCATCTTTCCAGGACACCTGACACCACAGAAAGCACTTAGAGCGCTTGGGGTAACCTTAACCCTGACACTTAATGACCACTAAAAGCCTAAAAACCACTTTCAGACCCACTGACACCTTTTAATTGCACTGGGAAGACTTCCAGTTGCCACTGAAATACTGACAAGTCCTCCTGAATCGTCCCAAAGGACGCGGAAAACCAGTTTATTACCGCAGATATAAACGTCAAACACCTAAAAACCTTTTGGAAACAAACCCAAAATGCCACAACAATTCATCATAGAGCTTGATTAATACAGATACATTCTCTTTAAAAGGAACAAACAGTAAACCACCAGGACAGGTCCAGATATTCTCTGATCATCCAGTAACACTAAAGATGAGCAAAAACTCTCTAAAAGTACTTCTGAAATGACTGAAGCCTCTTTAAATCTAACTGAAAAATGAATCAGAAATCATCCTGGACCACGAGGACAATATAAATATTCCTCAAGGAGAAAAACCTCTCCATCCTCAGACTAAGATCCACCAAAGGCCCTTAAATTACCCAAAGAACATCTGTAACCCTTACAGCTCTAAACTAAAGACATTAGTGTGTTGGATTTATTTACATTTGCAACAACATTATGCATCATTTCAGTTTAAAACAATGGAAATCAGAGCATGTTTGTGCCGTTTACAGGGGAAGTGAAAGCTTCAGGATTCCCTGGAACTTAAAGCTGAATTAAACTAGTTTGTTGATCTGGTTGGAGTATTTTATGGGCCTTGAGACACGTTGTTCTGGACTCAATCATCTAAAATTCTTCTGAATTTCCGAAACATTTAGAATTTTCTGACACAAGAATGTTGAAAAAAAAAGTTTGAAACTCCCCAAGAACTTCTGGAAACAATAAGATGCTAAAGTTCCCTGATAAACGATGGAAACTCAGTTCTATTTCAGTCAAAATATATCTGCACACATCTAATGTCTCAGACTTTTACATCTCTGAT